AAACGGAAATATCATTCAAAATCACACACGGCGGCTTTCGGTTATACCGTATCGGCCAACAACACCATCAAAAAGAACGAAAAATTCTACATTGAAAAACTGAATATGCAATTGGTAAACTACATAGGTTGATGACAATATGAAAATTCTGGGAGGAAATTTTGAGAAATTCTTGTCGGTTTCTGAGTAAGTTCAGGTATTTAATTCTCATTAATCAGCTTCGGAAACTCCCAAGATCAGCTGAGGATAGCGAGCATATATTCCTCCAACACTGATACGTTATAATGTAACTCTCAAGGGAGCCTCACCTGTGCTGATTTTCCCACATCACTGTGGCGCCCTCGTACACCAACGTTGACGTACACAGAACTAACATACACGAAAATACGCAGACGCGGCAGCTGCGACACACAGCGGTCAAAAAATCTGAAAAAATTTACATGTCGAAAAAAAAACCACCACAGCTCACTTTGCGTTTTGTTCAGGAGTACTGCTACAACAACAGTGAACAACCGCGTTGATATCAGATGGGAGGGAACCTAAATCTTGCAATCTTGCTCCCACTATGCAATTCCTCAACGCTCACCTGTGCCAGCATAAATCTTCTCAGTTTTCACTGCAGTTTCCGCACCGAAATTTCCATCAACATTAAAGCAGTCTTCCGTGCTTGATTCAACGAACAAGTAGATGACAGAATTAGAATATTCCCTGAGATGAATCTTATCACCTAAGATACGTCTGTGGCTAGCATTGCTTCAACACAGGAGAATTTTTCGGAAAACTCTGACAAAATTTGGTAAATTTTCCCGATTATTTTCGGGCTCCAGGAAGGGTAAACAAAAATCTTGGAAACGTATAACTCCTCGGGAACGCCAATTGAACGAGTTCAGGAAATTCCAAAAATGCAAATTATCCATCAATCAAGATCATTGAGCTCATCTCAATGACAACAAACAACACTGGAGATATCCATCACAGTTCCACGAATTACAAATATTCCGCAAACCATATTTTTGGACCTAATCTGTATCTTACCAGCAGGAACCTTAGATACTCACCTCGCCAACGTATGCAACACCATACGTCCCAACAACTCCGATCCTCCAGTAACCAGAATCTTTAATCGTTCTGTCATCTACTAAGAGGCTTGAAATAAAAAAAGATATTTCCCTGCGCACAGCCAAGACTTTCAAAGAGTGTTGCAGATACGGTTCCGTTCGAAAGAGGAGAATGACATCACATGTCTTAGCGCCGAGAGTGTGGGTGGGTAAAAAAGAGGTAACAATATGTGGCTACCAAAGGTTGCGAGGGATAGTACCAACTGATAAGTACGACACGGAAAACTCGCCCGCTACTAGCCGCATAGGGCAGGGCTATTAGTCTATAGTGAACCACAGATGAGAAATCTTACATTCCATACCTACCGTCATCGACATATTCCGTATCATACACGGGGCAACCTAAGATTCCCTCCCCCCAACTGAATCCACCAACACAACAGCACTAGCACCGAGCGTGTTCCAATCCCTCTGGACAAAAGACGGAAAAGACGACATCGGCAGGATTCGAACCTGCGCGGGCTGAGCCCATTGGATTTCAAGTCCAACTCCTTAACCACTCGGACACGATGTCCATACAAAATGCGATTTACATTCAAACCCGACTAGCTTTTCTATTTTCATACCGAATTACTATCAGACGACGTTCATCCCCCATAAAAAATTGATCGTATTAACCCAACCAGTGCACCTCATTATCAAAGAAACACATCGAACAATCACAGTAAATCATGAAGTGGTGATTTCAAGGTCTTCAAGCGCATGTCGAGTATCATCATCAAGTTCGCCATCAGCAGCTAGACGATCTCTCAGAGTGCTCAGCAAGAGCTCCCGTCGAACCTTCACACAACAAAGGCCACTTCGAAAAAAACACGCCTACAATTGGACCGGTGCACACTACTTGGCACGAGTCAAGGCATTCACAATACTCACACAACCGTTTCGAAAGCACACAATCGACATCAGCACTTGCTCAAGATAATTGCAGGTGTAGCAGTTGCATAAACTCCTCATGGCCATCTGCTTACTTTCAAGCCACGACATGATCGAATAAGCTTCTTCGCCTCGGGTACGTCAATATCCTCCCGAGTCGACTCAACCAACCGTAGCAGCTTCCCTACGACTCGTCGAGTAGTGCTTGGGGAACAGCCAAACACTCCTAAAATGATCATTTTATGAACCAACGTGAGAGCATATGCACATAGTCAACCACATGTGTTGGGAGAAAATTTACGAGATTCTTGTTGGTTTCTATGCACTTCTACCCGACTTCGTTTGTGAACTTCTACAATGAGCTCAGCTCAAGAAAGCGAGCATATATTTCAACATTGTTATAAATGATCGCAAAATCGAATGAATTTGTGTGACGGAATATCATCGCCAGAGATTTCCATAATCATTCCTACCTTCACCGTGAAAACTCTATCAGTTGCATACGGAAACTACTTCTTATCTGTCCTCATATTCTAGACCGTATAGATATTCAGCACGTATGCTCAAGGTATTCATATTTCCACTGTTTGAGCTCTTTACACGCATAGCTACCTGTAAAGCGTCTTTCTACCACTTGTCTACTGCTGTGTTAGTGACAAGGGCTTTAAGCTTCTACAGCAACTCATCACCAACACTACTCCCAGAAGAGAAAAACCCAAGTCGCGCACCCAACGTGAATTGACTTCACTCACCATCACAGCTATCATCAAGCTCCTTCAGTTCAGCTATGCATGAGATGGCTTGAACTGCATCCTCAATACTTCTGCATGCCGCGACCATCTTGGGCCCTGATGATGGGAATATCCTCAGGTTGCCTCTTCAAAGATTCAAAGTAGGCCCAATAAGATACTCACCCAAACAATGCGACAGAATCTGCCTTTCTTCATCGATCAGCTCGAACTTCTCCGCTACTGAAAATAGAAAGTTTGCAATTACTCTTTCCATATCGAGGTCCCGGGTTCAATTCCCAGACCCGACATTTCTCCATATTTTCCACTCACATTTCGTATAAAATGCCCCTATGATGATGCTCTCACTCGCAGACATCCACGGCAGACCTTTCAGCACTGCCGGGTTGATGCACTGAGAAAAAACAACATGCCATTTCTCCCAACAACAATCACTACTCTAGAAAAAAGAACTTTATGAAATTAGCCAAAAAATCAAAATACGAACATTCAAAAGCATTACAACACCCATATTCCTAAAAATACTGTGTTGAAGGAATATTCGTTCGCTTTTCCCACCTGAGCTCAGGAGAGTTTCCTATACAGTGTTGGAGTAGGAATATATGTAATCGCTTTCCTCAGCTGAGCTCAGAAGAGTTTCCTATACAGTGTTGGAGTAGGAATATATGTAATCGCTTTCCTCAGCTGAGCTCAGAAGAGTTTCCTATACAGTGTTGGAGTAGGAATATATGTAATCGCTTTCCTCAGCTGAGCTCAGAAGAGTTTCTTATACAGTGTTGAAGTAGGAATATATGTAATCGCTTTCCTCAGCTGAGCTCAGAAGAGTTTCCTATACAGTGTTGGAGTAGGAATATATGTAATCGCTTTCCTCAGCTGAGCTCAGAAGAGTTTCCTATACAGTGTTGGAGTAGGAATATATGTAATCGCTTTCCTCAGCTGAGCTCAGAAGAGTTTCCTATACAGTGTTGGAGTAGGAATATATGTAATCGCTTTCCTCAGCTGAGCTCAGAAGAGTTTCCTATACAGTGTTGGAGTAGGAATATATGTAATCGCTTTCCTCAGCTGAGCTCAGAAGAGTTTCCTATACAGTGTTGAAGTAGGAATATATGTAATCGCTTTCCTCAGCTGAGCTCAGAAGAGTTTCCTATACAGTGTTGGAGTAGGAATATATGTAATCGCTTTCCTCAGCTGAGCTCAGAAGAGTTTCTTATACAGTGTTGAAGTAGGAATATATGTAATCGCTTTCCTCAGCTGAGCTCAGAAGAGTTTCCTATACAGTGTTGGAGTAGGAATATATGTAATCGCTTTCCTCAGCTGAGCTCAGAAGAGTTTCCTATACAGTGTTGGAGTAGGAATATATGTAATCGCTTTCCTCAGCTGAGCTCAGAAGAGTTTCCTATACAGTGTTGGAGTAGGAATATATGTAATCGCTTTCCTCAGCTGAGCTCAGAAGAGTTTCCTTACGACTTCAGGTAGAAGGATACAGAAAACACGAAT